ACAATAGCAAATTGGGGTTATAATGCTCAGGAACAGAGTTAAAAAGTAAATTGCAACCACTGTTTCCTGACATAATCAGCTTTCGAAAGCCGTTTGGGCATGGAGGTGAAAAAAAAACAGCGTTTCTTCAGGCGGTCGCACACCGGACGAGAAGCAACTGGAATTGAGAACCGCTGTTCTAGACATGCCAAAAATTTGAAGCTACAGCACAGCAGCTCTTTTTCTTCGTTTTCTCTGATGCACTAACTCTGCTGCAGCTCTTCTTCTTCGTCATCTCGTCTGATGCGCTCACTCAACCAAGCGTTCTAACCACAACCTCGCCCCTCCCCACCCCCCAACCATTCGAATTTCTGTAGGCGGGAGTTATTTGTAATGATATTCTAATGAGCCGCTTTGTGATATCACAAAGCCCGGAAACCAAATGCTGTAGTCCAAACGAGCTGTTTGTTGTAGTTCTTGAAAAGGGATTTTTTAAAAACTAAATATCTCCCTTTGGAGTGGACTTTGAGATTTGTAACTTTCTAGATCTTTTTAATGCCCAAACATACACACTACACACTGACTAAAATTAAAAAAGTGAAAAAGCATAATAGCACCCCTTTAAGCAAGACGCAGTACGAGTGAAGTATCGAAAGGGAACCGAGACGTTTAGTTTGACCTCCTGACAATTGACATGAAACTGACCTTTTGTTGAAGAAGTGCAAGAATGTGATTTTATGTAGGAGTTTGAATCCCTTTCTGCTAATCTCTTGGTGGAAAGTGCTATCGCAGGGCTGTTAATGGCTTGTTTGCCTTGTGTTTATGTGCCAGTGGCTACAGTCAGAGAGCTACAAGCTTATCTAGGATTCTGTTTGTTAATGTGTTGCTCTCTTGTGCTTTTATCTGAATGTTTGAAGTATTTCCATTATGTTGGTTAGAGAACGGTGGGGTCTGTGTTTAATGACAGCAGTAGTTCTCTGGCAGGCTACTCATCCTGCTCTTTTTCTCTCTTGCTCTCTTCTAGGTGTTCTCTGATATCATCTACACGGTAGCGAGCTGCACAGAGAACGAGTCGCGCCGCTACGGCCGCTTTCTGTGCTGCATGCTGGAGACTGTGACTCGATGGCACAGCGACAGAGCCATCTATGAGAAGGTATGGTGTGCTTTTGGCTCTTGTTTAATTATCCTGTCAGTGTTGTCTCTAGCGTGTCCTAGTCACCACTAAATTGGTATCCGTGAAAACAAGTTGGCAGTGCATCCCTTCCCTGCAGGATCAGAGTGTTTAAATGTTTGTTAGGAGCAAAAATTATCTTTAAAGTTTAATCGTCTTCCATTTTCACATTTTTTTAATAATAGACTTTTATTACAAACCCAGATAAATCGTTTCTGTCTGTATATATTGAGGTTTTGGGTTAAACATGCTTTTCAGAAGCCTGGTTTTATTTGTTTGTCTCGTCTTGTCTGTTTCTGGTTCCCTCACTAGGAATGTGGCAATTATCCTGGGTTCCTGACTATTTTCCGAGCCAGCGGTTTCGACGGAGGGAACAAAGCAGATCAGCTGGACTATGAGAATTTCCGGCATGTTGTTCACAAATGGCATTACAAGTTGACTAAAGTTAGTATTCTACTCCTCACAGAATACTACTCCTGCTGTTGTAGAGCAGGGTGATTCATAATTCTCTAAACTTTTCAACCCTCTTGAAAATATTTATTTGCAATAATTATAATTGATGATGATTGTAGTTTATAGTAAGTATAAATGATTGACTACTATATTGGTCACTTGAGAAATTATGTCATTATTAGGTAATCAAATTAATCATGAATTAATTGCACGTCAGTTTTGGCTAAGAAATTACCCCCCAAAAGATCAGTTAAGCCATTTGGAATTTACAACAAAGTAACTTTTGAAATAAATATTTTGATTCAGTAGGACAATATTTGGCCGAGATACAACTATTTGAAAATCTGGAATCTGAGGGTGCAAAAAAGGGCGCCTTTAAAGTTGTCCAAATGAAGTTCTTAGCAATGCATATTACTAATCAAAAATTAAGTTTTGATAAATTTACGGTAGGAAATTTACAAAATATCTTCATGGAACACGATTTTTACTTAATATCCTAATGATGTTTGGCATAAAAGAAAAATCGATAATTTTGACCCATACATTGTTTTTTTTTGGCTATTGCTAAAAATATATCCAAGCGACTTAAGACTGGTTTTGTGGTCCAGGGTCACAAATAATAATAATAATAATAAATGGGTATTAATGTTTAAAAAAATAAAAAATATTGAAATACGAAATAATAATAACCGCCAATAGGTCTTCATGAGTGAGGCATTCAGTCATTCATTCAACCAATTTGTTCAAATGGCTGCTTCCTTCAAGAACAAAGCAATTGATTTGCTTGCAATTCATTATGAATGGGTCACTGAATCACTGGCTTACTCGAATCGTTAAAAACTGTGGATTCACTCAGTGACAAACCACTGCTGTGCTGCTCTGAGATGTATAACCGTCGTGCTGTGGCTTTGTTTGGAACCCTTTTTATTCGCAAAACAGACATACACAATTGCAGACATGCACTGTTGTATCTAAAATTGAACGCAGTAATAACTTGAGTCATATGCGCAATGTTTTGTATAAATGTGACTTTTTGTTAGCACCTCATGTACAGAAAATCCTCTGCTTGTTCCCTCAGGCGTCAGTTCACTGTCTGGAGACGGGCGAGTACACCCACATCCGCAACATCCTGATCGTGCTCACCAAGATCCTACCCTGGTACCCCAAGGTGCTGAACCTGGGCCAGGCTCTGGAGTGCCGCGTTCACAAGATCTGCCAGGAAGAGAAAGAGAAGAGGCCCGATCTCTATGCGTTAGCCATGGGGTAACTGAGCCGAGAGCCGGCTGGCCTCAGCATTTCAAGTGCTTTCACCACACTGGTTTAGAGGGTCCAGGCTTGTCTTTCACTTTCAGGAGTCTAGCTGGTGGTAGTGTAGTTTTTCCACATTTTAATTGTGCTCGCTTTGGTTTAAGATACAGGACATTTGTTATTGGCTACATTTCTGAAGGTGTGTAGGCATCATTTATATACAGCTGCCCCTAGAACTATACGCTGAAAGGTTATGAAACGTGGCCCACAATTTGTCATTCAGCTTGGTTCAAACCTTAGCCCATTTTTTACTCAATTAGCAACGTTTTAGTTCAGTTAAATGACTAGATTCTCTGCCATTTTAATTTTTCTATCCCACAGCTTTTATTAGGTCATCCCCAGATTTGTGACAGTTGATCAGTTGGTTTACCAGACCATTTGCTTGTAATGCATCATCAAATTTGACTAAATGGGAATGAAGCTGTATCTTTGCAAGGCTTTTATGTAAATGCATGAAATTAGCTTGAAAATTAGAATGAAACCTTTATTTTATTATTATTTCTTGCAACACCCCACTACTCGTTAGGGGTTTGATCACCGTCAGTCCAATTCCTACAGAGGTCATATTTTAAAAACCTTGAAATTGCAGGTGAATTCTTGAATCTTGGAACAGAAGAAAAATGTTTTTCTTTGGCACATGTCATACTAGGGCTGCATGAAGAATAGTGTTTGTATTGGTCACGATTTCTGCTTCTATTGATTTATTAATTGTCTGCGATATTTGTCCACTGGTTATTTATCTCGGAAATGTTTTAATTTTAATTTAAGCATCCACAAGCTTTTATGTGTGCGGTTGCCAGATGTCAAGAGTTTAAATCCCCCAATCAGAGCTTTTCTTTTAAATCGATTCAATTTCTGCAGTTTGGTTTACTTAATCTTCCCATTCTGGCAATCCCTCTCTTACACTACTCTCTTACACTGAAATAGCTGGAGTTTAGCAATTTCTTCTGAGATAATGTGCTCAAATGAAAGTGTAATTATTTTGCACAGTTGTTTGCACTGTTTGCTGCGACTAAATCTGCAAGCAAACCATGCAAGTTGACTTTCTCTTGATTTGTGCTTATATGAAAGTGCAAAAATTCTATAGAAATTAAAAAAAAAAAATTTTTTAATGATGCTAATTGTGAATTCATTTTTGAGCAAAATAATTGTAATTAACATCTAACCATTGTCCTGCAGCCCTTTGTGATGCATATCTTTACCATAGTGCCGCAGAAATCCAGTTACTGTGTCTTCATCAGTTTACTCATAGCCTTAAACTGCTTTTCCTAAATGTACCGCTAGGGGTGCTGTGACCAAATAAATCCACTGCGCCTCACAATATGCATGTGCAGGTAGGCTTAAAACATTACTGGATAATTGCAGAAATAAATCATTAATGAGGGAAGTCCCCCTCCGCCAACCATCAGCAGGGAGTTTCTGGGCGTCTTTGTTGGCAGAGGTTAGCCACATTAAGGCAGATTTATTCGTTGCTCTTTTCTGCCGCTTTCAGCATACTCTCCGCAGTGGGATTGATTAAATGTGTCGGACTGGTGCGGTTGGAGACGGTCAGGAGTGGCTGGTCATCTCGGGCGCATGTGAAGGGATGAGGTTTGTGGTGAGGTTGTTTGAGGAGGAAACTCAAAAGACATAATTCAGTGCAGTCATTCCAACCAAAATCGCAAGGGAAGGTTTGGCCTCTTCATTGCTGCTTAATGAACACAGTCCATTCAGCTTTTGGACTTTGTTGTCACGATAAGGCGATCTTATCAGTTATCAGCTGTAATGGGCTGCTTTGCTTCACTGGAGCTAGAATTAGTGACGAGGACTTGATCATGCCCCACTGATTCCCGAGACCATTCTTCTGTAATCCACATTTCCCATCTGCATCTTTAAATGAGCTTGTTAGAAGGTGACGACATGTTACTGCTTACCTTTTGGACTAGACATCACGAGAACACTACTGTTCAAATAGTTTTGTTCAGTAAGATGTGTATTTATTTATGAATACTTTTAGCAAGGACACATTAAATTGATCAAGTGTGACAGTAAAGATTATTACATAAAAATCCATATTTAAAAAAAAAAATCTATATTAAAAAAATGAAAAAATGCTGTTCTTTTGAAATAATTCGGAGTACTATTTTGCCGTATTTTTAATAAAATAAAAACAGCCTTGGTGAGCATAAAAGACTTAAAAAAAAATAACAACTTACTGACCCCAAACTTTTGAACTTGTGTATTGGATTAAAATAATGTTTAGTTTGAGGAGCTCACGTGGTTTAGAGAAAATTTCATGGGCTTGTAAAATGATTAGACATCCAATCATAATGAGGAACTGATTTCTTTTTAAATTGGCGTCTTCCATTGCACAATTGGTAATAACTCTTGACATGTAATTGTTGCGTTCATGCCGCCAGTGGGATTTCTCAGCACACCTCAGCTCATTGGGCAGACGTGGGCCCTGTTCTTTGTGTTTCTCTGTAGACACATGGAATCAACAAGAAATGAAAGAGGGAAATCAGACCTTGTGTTCAGCCTCTCAAAAATATGCCAATCTAGTTACGTTAATATTGTCATAAAGCCTTTCCTCTGCCAACACAGCCCCTCTTGAGCATTTCTTTTTGAATCCATCCGTTTCTGAGTGATTTTAAGCATTGCACTTCACATTACCATCTACCGTGATTTTAACCATGTATGTGACTTGCAGCTACTCTGGCCAATTGAAAGGCAGGAAAGTGCACATGGTGCCAGAAAATGAGTTCCACCAAAAGGAGCAGCCAGTGCGCAGCGCCACGCCTGGCACTCTGCAGAACGGACCGGGTAACACGGGCAAGCCTGCCGCCGCTGCCAGCGCTGGCAAAGCCGAGGAGGGCGCCGTCGAGGACTCAGGTGACTCTATTTGAATAATCTTCCTGTTTTCCTCCACGAAGCTTCAGGAATTGATTTGATAGCATCTGGACTTGTTTGTTCATTTATTGAGAACGTCTTGATACTCATTTAAAATGAAACACGTTGCCATGGCGTACAACACTTGCGGTGGGAATTGCCACCCTGAGGGAGTTAATTGCAATTACTGTGTGAATTGGGGTAAAACTGCGAAGGATATTAGAACAAAAAAGCCTCGCACAGACCCATTAACACAGAAACAAGTACACCACGAGGATTGATCACAACAGCAGTGCAGGTCATGTGACTCCAGCCTCTTCAGGATAGGTTCGGTCCATCACACGGCTCTAGCAGCTACTACAATGAAGCCTCGAGTCCTGTTCAAACCCATGTTCATTTTGAGTCTACTGATTTTCAGTTACTTGATTGCATCATGAATATCACTGACTATATGAGGTGTCACAATTAATACAGGCGCTCAGAGATGAGTGTCATCATGACCAAGCATATGCTTGCAGAACTTGGAGATTAAGTTGTTTTGAAGAAAAGGCTTAAAGTGGATTTTTAAAAATGAAGAAATCGCACTACCGTTCAGAATTTTGTGATTGGTAATATATGTGACCCTGGAGTACAAAAGCAGTCTTAAGTCGAATCTGTGTTTCATTCACTTTTAATGAGCTTTCAATGGCACATGAAGGATGCTTGCAATTTTCCAGCATGCTTAATAGCTGTACATATTTACATCGAGCAAATGCCATAACTCCTTCACTGTGTCACCAAACAGAGGAGCTTTGGCATTCTTCCGCTTTATCAGGACGTTCTGTCATCCCAGAGTTTGTCTCGTTTGGTAGGTATGGACACAATGATGTCTGCCCTCGTGTGACGTCCATGTCGGCTTGCTCTATTTGCAGATAAATCCAAGGACAAATCTCAGGCGGCTCAGAAAACTGCCAGCAAAAACAGCACCGCAGCCAGTAAAGTGAGCAGCAGCAACGGAAGCAGCACGCCGAACAGGTACTGCACCCAAGTCCCGACTCTCCACGCCGCGCAAGCTCAGAATGATGTACTGCTCTCATCTCTAATATAATGTCATTAAAAGTTGAAGCCCTGGGGTGAGAAAGTTTAGCAGGGGCTTATTATTTCAAACTACTCGCCAAATAAATCAATCCTTTATCAAAGTCTACCTTCCTTATGAACTGTGTAATCAAATTGAACAACGTTCCAGGCAAGAATCCTCTTACAATTCTATTAAACGGAGCAATCGCGGAGAGAAATGTCTTGAAAGGAACTATCTCTGAAAGGCATGGCTGTTACAACACACAATTGCACGATGGCCCATCAAATTGGCTGTGTAAAACATCATTTCCAAAGAAATACTTCAATGGGAGACTGGCGAAGAAAGGTCCCCATCAGTTTCCATTCAGGAATTGTGTGAATGGAATGAGATTGTAATGGATTTCTGAGTGTCTTAACGTGGTTTGGTGGGGTCAGGGAAAGTGGCGTAGTCAGGAATATGTAAATTGTATGGGTCAAAATTATTGATTTTTCTTTTATGCCAAAAATCATTAGGATATTAAGATCATGTTCCATATGATATTTTGGTTCCATATGATATTTTGTGAATTACCTACCGTAAATATATTTGATTAGTAATATGCATTGCTAAGAACTTAATTTGGACAACTTTAAAGATGATTTTCTCAATATTTTGA